TCATATGGGTCCCACATGGAACTTGGGTGCAGAATCCGGAGGTTTCCTCAAGGATTGCACATATGGTACCCATATAGATCTGCATATGGGCACCATATGGGTCCCTTATGGGCTTGTTACCTGGGTTGCTAACCGTTAACCGTTATCCGGATACCGCTAACGGTTAGCGCTAACCGATCGGGCGTTCTCACGCAGGTGCTAACGGTTAGCGCTAACGGTTAGCTCCCGATCCGAATACTAGGGCTCTCGTGAGAACCAGGCTAGTGTTAAAACATACGCAAACACGTGCGTTTGTGGGACAACACGTGTGTTTGTGAGGCGCGCGCGTATTCCTAGCGCTGTTCTGATTAGTCAGTTGTTAAGTTTGATTGACACTCCGGAAAGGTCTATTTGCTGGTAATCAAATAAGTGAAAACGAGCTCAACCAAACTGTTTTTTGTTTTTGTTTTTGTTTTTTTGTTTTTTTCAAGGTAAAGAAGATATAAGAGCAGCAAACCATCCTGTATTGAGCTATCAAAAATTTGAGTCCGGTCCAGCGTCGATATCATTCATCATCATATGCATCGTCCTTGGTCCGCTAAGGCGATCTTATCCTGACATGACCGAAATCGACACTGGCATCCATTATTTCCATATAGGCCTAGAAAACTGAGTTAGTCAGTACTAAGTGCATCAACTATTGGGGAAAAGTTGTTTTTATATCTTTGAGAGGCACTACTTTTTGCGTTCCAGCTTCTGTTAAATTTTATAACACTCATCTGACAACTGCAACAGTGCCTAGGGGTGGATTAAGCCCCGCAAGAAAGAGTGGTTTGCGAGTTGAGCTTGGATTGGTTGGAAGAGTCCTGGTGGTAGGGACGGCAAGGGGAAAATTCTCATAAACCTCTAGCACCTTTATTAATTTGAATTTGTATTTTACTATTTAGCATGCTAAATTTCGAATAAGCTTTAGAATACAAAACATTTTTTTACAACAATATAGAGGGAAAATTGGAAGGGGATGGGGGGGGGGTGGAGGCGGAGGCGTACGTCGGTCCTACGCTCTCCCTCTCTAAATTCACTGTGCCTACTGTTACATGTACTGTATTCATATAGGCCTACTATCACTAATTATAAGCAGTTTATCATCCACACACTGAGTTCATGAGATGCGTCATGTCATAAAACTGACCAACTCAGTTACTACTTTCACTGTGAAGGAAGAGAGACTATTATTCTCTATGTTTTCACATGCACCGCCTTGGACTTCCCCCTGTTATATGTGATGGAAATTTCCACCTTGAATCCGTGCGCCTGCGTCCGTGATTCAACCATTTGATACAGGGTTCTTTGCGCGATGCTACCGAGTTTTTTTTTTAACAATATACAATAATGTTTGATATTTTACTATATTTGACGTCAATTATGATTTTTACGTACTTAAGAAATCAACAAGTGTTATCTAGTCATTATTATATTGCCCCGTATCTTGCACTCGCTTTGTATAAAATACAACTGTCGTTAAATGGAACATTCCATTTTTATTATCAACATAAAAAGTGTGTGTGTGTGTGTGTGTGTGTAAACATTATCCGCAAAATACATCCATCAGCTGATCAATACGAAAGCTTTACTTTGACAATTAGTTAGTATTACTGTAAACATAATGTTTTCTGTTGTTAGATATAATGCGAATAGAGTATTTAGAATGCTGTTACTCAAAAGAATGCAGCCAGGCCTAAATAGATGCAAGAGCACTATTGTGGCTGATGCCAGACAATCTCTTGCCAGCAGAAGTTTGAATTCCACTGGTAGGTAGGCATCCCCCGCCCGGCGGTGCCCTGGCAGGGGGGTCACGATTTCTTTTGTTTTGTTTTTTCCCCTTCAATTGTATTTTTAATTAAAAGCTCACTGTTAATTATTATTATTATTATTGTTATTATTATTATTATTATTACATTATTAATTAGGTAACTAAAAAACCTACCTTTTAAGGGGCAATTAGGCCTAAACAATTTTAGAAATTAGAGAACAATTAAAAAAAAACGACGTTAATGAAAAAATAACCCCAAAAAAGTAGTCCGATTTAATGAAATTATTATTATTATTATTATTATTATTATGTAGTATAATGACAATGTTATTGTTAGTGTATGGCTCTGAATTTTTCAAAAGTGACTCTTTGTGTCACAAAAATGAGTGGTTGCATTTCAATCAAAAGGTGCGCGTCCACAGACAGATTCTATGTTTTGACCCAGACCCTAACTCATGCAATCCAGATGATAGGCTAGAAGTACAAACAAGCTTTTTTTTCATGTACTTAGATGTAACCCCCTTCTTGTCTAACTTAATTATACGCAATTAGTAGTAGAGCTCGCAGAGTATACTAGCGGAAAATTATTATACGAATGTTAGATTTTAATGCTTGAAAACATTTGAGTGCATTAAATCTTAAACCTAAAGTATAATCATTTTCCCTTAGTGTACGATGTATGCAGCTATACTAATTGCTTTATAAGTCAGTAGGCGTCTTTTAATGTTAGTTTTGGCTGGTTTTGATAATCAACTGTTGTAGCTGTAATCGGTTGCTATAGTGATATGATCAGTACTATGTGTGTGTACATTACATTTAACTATGCGGATGCTGATGTTCTGCCGTATGCCCTAACACACAGCTAGAGCAAGGTTACACCTCTCAGTAGGGATAAAATTAATAATTACATGTTGTGTGGAAGAACATGTTATGCAATTTGAATAGACTCGTCAAAGAAATAAACATTTCTTAAAGCATTTGAGAGAATACAGTAATCACTTTTTGGTCGGTGCAGACAGGTAAAATTGTGTGATGATTTCATATCTAGGTTAGGTTGATCTAGGCCTCGGCGGCCTCCTGTCTAGGCCTACATCTAATTTTGTTTCCTTGAGTCTTTAAAATAAGTCTAGAAATCCGGTATTCATATTATTGTTTAGTTTATTAGGGTCCATTGATTCAAGGAATTCCTTAATTTTTCTTACTTGATATTAAATTTAAAGTTTTTTTGGGTTCTAATCAGTCTTGTTTCATGAAAGTAATTTTTCAACCACTTTGCTTGCTCTATTAGAACAATTTTTTTTGTTACATTTTCAATGCACACAGTCAGACAACAGTAATTGTTGACAATTTATATAATCAGTACACTTTCGACTGTCATGAAAATCTCATATGTCCAAAAAATTATGTTATATGCATGCACCGAAGTGGGAAGGTCATGTTTTATGTTGTTTGTAACGATACAGTGTATTACATGATCATTCTAATATGACCACAACATAAGGATATCCTCTTTAATAACTTCACCAGAATACTTGGTCACGTAGCTTCAGATCCATTGGAGAGAATACAGTAATCACTTTTTGGTCGGTGCAGACAGGTAAAATCGTGTGATGATTTCATATCTACGTTAGGTTGATCTAGGCCTCAGCGGCCTCCTGTCTAGGCCTACATCTAATTTTGTTTCCTTGAGTCTTTAAAATAAGTCTAGAAATCCAGTATTCATATTATTGTTTAGTTTCTTTAGTTTATTAGGGTCCATTGATTCAAGGAATTCCTTAATTTTTCTTACTTGATATTAAATTTAAAGTAAACTTTTTTTGGGTTCTAATCAGTCAAGTTTTATGAAAGTAATTTTTCAACCACTTTGCTTGTTCTGGTAGAACAATTTTTTTCGTTACATTTTCAATGCACACAGTCAGACAACAGTAATTGTCTACAATTTATATAATCAGTACACTTTTGACTGTCATGAAAATCTCATATGTCCAAAAAATTATGTTATATGCATGCACTGAAGTGGGAAGTTCATGTTTTATGTTGTTTGTAACGATACAGTGTATTACATGATCATTCTAATATGACCACAACATAAGGAAATCCTCTTTAATAACTTCACCAGAATACTTTGTCACGTAGCTTCAGATCCATATGAATTTATATTTTCTTAGGCCTAAATAATAAATCCACACTTCAAATGTTTAACATATCATTGAGAATTTTGATTGACTATTAATCTCATATCCAAATTTCAGGAAATTACGTTTGATGCATGTGCCGACGTGGGAATTTTAACCTAATAATTTTAATATGTTAAGATAAGATAAACTTTATTGCTCCAAAATAGGAAATTCAGTAATGGCATTATTATAGGCTACAATTGATAGTAAAAAATATTAAAACAATGATAAAAAACAATCATTTTATGTTGTTTGTTAAATGGTCTTAAATAATATTACAGTCTAATATGACCACAACATATTGGAAGTCCATGCTTTAAATGTTTAGCATAATCTAGTACTGATAATTCTGATTGTTTTACACATGTTAGATCCAATTTTCAAAAAATTATGTTTTACATCGCACATCGCACAGTACATCATGCAGCCCATTTAATTACAGCTGTCCCTTTTTAATTAATACTTAGACAATGCAAACAAAGTATTGCGTTTAGGCCTATTTTGTCTGTATTTCTGTCTTTGAGGTAGGCAGCATTTCTGACAGAAAGAGTTGGAATTCACCACACCACCAGGCACTGCAATCACTTTATATTTTTATTAATATTTTATTTCTCACTCTGATCTTCGTCATTGTGAAGGCCTGGATCCGCGTCTGGTTATAAGCCGTTACTTCATCACTGCAACTTCCAATGTTGTTTTCATATCCCAAACAAACCATGCATTAATTTTTTATTAGTGCATGGTTTGCTTGGCCTTTTTTTTCAGTTTGTGTGCAAAAGGTCAAAACAATGTGTCGTGCACCGTGATGAATTAGTGGTTTTACACCGACCATTCAATGGCAGACACTCGCCCAATCGTTATTTGTTGACAAGTTACTGATAATTGAAAACATTACATAATTATGGAATATGTATATTAGAACCCATAGAAAGTCATAATTCAATATTATGTATTCTCTCAACAGCTTGAAGAATTTTTTTTTTCTTTGATGAACCCAAATATTTATTCAATGTACTGTAGTGTTGGCGTGAACTGCAGCAACAATCGGCACACACTCAGCTAATGTACAGACGCCCAGATGTAGGCCCCTGTTAAACTTATCCCTAAAGACAATTTTTATATTCAAGATTTTGAATCATCATCGAACAAACCGATTTTTACAACCGCCACCTCATCATTTTTGTTTTGTGTTTAGGTGAAAAAGACTGGGCAGCCAGAGCTACAAATACAGACTGGGAAAAAATACTAACTCCTGAACAGTACTTTGTGTGTCGAGAAGGTGGTACAGAAGAAGTAAGCTAGTTTCCGACACTGGTTTTAGTTTAAAATACCTTTAATTTATTTGACAAAAATTGTGAAAATGACATTATTATAAAGGATGATTTGGCAGCTAAAGATTATGTAAATAATATATATATGGTAGATGATGTTTTCATTTATTTGAAGATATCAATGTATTTCTGTATGACTGTACATTTTCTTTGATGTGAAGAGAGCTCCATTACTGATGCAGTATTTAGTAATATTCATCTATCCACATGATTTTAAATAGAAGTATAAAAGAATTATTGATATTATTGGGGTTTTTTTTAAACAGCCTTTTACAGGAATTAATTTTAGTAACTTTGAAGAAGGACTTTACAAGTGTGTTTGTTGTTCTGCTGTTCTATTCAGGTAAGTTATTTCACCTGAGGAAAGAAAAAAAAATATATTGTACTCCAAAAGAAAATGTTAATTATTACATTGGTGTAATGATGAGACCTAAAGTTTCTCTGGGCTACTACCCTGTGGGGTATGGGTCAAGATTTTCCCATCTGTTTTTAAGGGCATATCAGCATAACAGTTGTTAATCTTACTTTTGTATTTGTTATTTCCTCATATTAATATTTGATGTCTGAAATAACACTTAAATTTAATGCCACTGAAAATAATATAATTATTATAATTAACGTTGTACAAAACTAGTAAGTGTGTCTTGTACACATACATTATAATATTTTTATCTTTGTCCACATTATTGCATTTTCTGTCACACTGTGATTGGTCCATTTATGGGCATGATGTTGTTTTTATCTTAAGTTTAATTTAATAGTCATAGTAATTCTTTATTGTCCATTCATATAAAATAAAAATGCAACTTGAATTGCACAGTGTACAGTTACAAATTTTAACAACAAAGGCAAAAGCACAACACCAATAAAAGGCTACCTAAATTGAACAATAAGATTATTCTATAATGTAGGCCTATATAATATATATTCTATAATATATAATGGTTATGTACAAATTTAAATTCTTGATAGTTATCATCATCATTATAATTAGTAATACATTATTATTAAAATTTACATTTACAGTATTTAAATTACATGATTGAAGTAATGTTTCACAATTTTATAATATTGATTTGAAAATATAAAATGGACTTATTCTATTATAAAGGCCAACTCAGACAGCGTCGTACGACACAGCCCGACGCGATTTGTTGTCACGTCGGGTCTGTGTGAGTTAAACGCAGACGCGATGGTGTGCGTCGGGGGCAGTCGCGTCATAGAATATTAAACGTTTAATATTTCTCACGATGGCTTAAGACTGTCCCCGATGATAAATCGGGTCGGGCTGCGTCGGCCGACGCTGTCTGAGTTGGCCTTAAGAATACTTTATGTCGTATCATAAATAACTGCCATGGGCAAATCACAGGTATCTGTCACCCAAAACTTAATAATGTAAACAGAAAATTTACATACAAGAACAATATTAGTGAGTTACCCATATAAGGAGATAATGATGTCATCACATCCATATATGGGCATGATTATGTCATATTACACCCATATATGGGCAAATCACAGGTATTTGTCACACAAAACTTGATAATGTACACAGAACATTTACATACAAGATAACAATATTATAAGTTAATTACGCATATAGGGAGATAATGATGTTATGTCACACACGCCAATATATGAACATGATGATGTGATATCACACCCATACATACTGTTACACAGTGGTTATAGCATTTAGATAGTTATGTCTTAATGAGCTTTAGAATTATCTTTAATCATGATAAAATATGGTATAATTTTGGCGCAGCATGCTTAAAAAGTCAAGTAATGTATTATTTCTTGATATTAGCTCAGAAGCAAAGTATGATTCTGGTTATGGTTGGCCGTCATTTCACTGCGCAGAGGAAGAAGGATCATCAGTCAATGTGGTGAAGGTACCAGATGACTCATCAGGTGTTGCAGTCACTCAAGTTGTTTGTAGACATGTAAGTTAATGAAAATGTTATTAATGAACTTGTAGTCTGCTGAGAACTAAAATAACTGTTTAAGTGCACCACCTATTGGTGCATCTTCGTTGACGACCATAGAATACAGAAAGCTTGCTTTGAATTATTTGTGTAGTTTAAGTTCTGGAATTAAAGTTAATTACTTTTGACCTTACTTCTTGTTTTGAAATCATCCAAGAAGTAACAGAAAGTAAGAACAGAACTATGGATTGATTGTGCTTTCATACTGTTGAGCAGATAAAGCTATACCTGCCCATTCAGCCCCCTAATGACTCTGGTTTTCAATATCGCTATCCCTCTTATTGATATTCAAAACCCAACAGCCTTTTCCTTTAATCAGTACTTTGAGTTACAGAAAAACATGTTATTTTGTCTGAAATATATTCCCATACCGTAGTAAACAATTTCAATCAAGTATAATTTATTAATATAATCATTGTATTATTATGGTATGGTATTATTTATAATATAAGACCAGTTGTAGCTGAATAATCTGTAAATTAGTAATTAGACAAATCTGAAACATGGATCTGAAATTTGAGTTATAAACTGGAGCCAAGATGGTACTTTGTGGTGCACCTGTATAAATAGAAGCCTACTTTTAGCTATACAGTAGTTAATAGTAGATTGCACCTTTTAATTCAATACCCCTCTAATTGAAATTCCAAGACCCCTCTATTCTGAGACCCCTCTAAATTCAGACCACTTTTTTAAAAGAACCAAATAACAATCTTCAATCACTATGCTGTGTCGTTCAACACAAAGCTAACCCTCTAATTTGAGACCAAACCCTGAGACCACCCCAAAGGTGGTCTCGAATTGGAGGGTGAGCGGTAGTAGAAGTAAATGAGATCAGACTGTTTGCTACCTAAGGTTTTGCAATTATCTCTTTCATTTGCAGTGTGAATCACAGCTTGGACATGTGTTGCAAGACCCGAACAACTCATCAAAGGAGTGCTATTGCGTCAACAGTACAGCTCTTCATTTTGAAGCAAAATAAGAACTGTTTCATTTGCAGTGTGAATCACAGCTTGGACATTTTGCAAGACTCAAACAAGTCAAAGGAGTGCTATATCGTCAGGAGTACAGCTCTTTAGTTTGAACCAAAATAAGAACTTTTTATTCAAGTTTAGCTTGCTACATTTTGCTGAGGCTTTAAAAGTATTTTATATAGTATTTAAGAGATTATTCAAAAACAAATTGTGCTTAGATAAAACAACCCCAGCACTGGGTTAGTCCATCATTTGCAATATTTAATTACTCTGTTAGTATAGCCTAAATCTAAGCTACTTACTGAAATACTAAGACACACACTCTGTCTAATCATATGTTGAGCAGCTGATGTAGAAAAATGAAATACTGGTAGATACAGTAATAGACACAGGTCAGTTTCAAATTTCACTGAATTCTCCAACATGTTTTAAATTGACTGTGTTAACACAACACTAATTGGAAATTTTAGAAATCATAACGAAAAGTAGTAAAGTACAAGCTAATTAACAACATGTACAATATTCACCATTCCTGGAACCTACCAAATCCCAATTTGAAGCCAGATAGGGGGTTTCAAGTGTAGGAGATAATTTTGTATTATATTGTACATTTTGTAAAATTTGTTTATTCATGTAGATTTTATTCATATGTAGATACAATTTTTTATTTGGTGGAAAAATCAACAGTAGACCGAGTGGCAAATGTGAATGTACACATATACACATGGTCCGGAGTAACAAGGACATTTACATTAGATCCTGGGATCCACACTGCAGCGCCCCTACGGTGGTCTTTACTCCGGGAGACAATCCCTTACTCCTTCACAAATGTGTATCGAGAGGTTTTCTTTCATACACACGTGCTATTTTTGCACACGGGACTACAGCGTAAAGCTCTGTCCATGCTACCAAATTTTATGTGACAAATTTGTGTGATAGGCTTATGCCCATATATTGACACAGTCACACTACTACACCCAAATATGGGCATTTTGCAGGTATTTTTTAAATAAAAATTTAATAGTGTGTACAAAGCACAGAGATTATTAAAGCTAAGTTAAACCGACAGGTTACAAACTTAGTCGCTCTCGCATTCTCTCCAATCCCTATTCCAATGGGGGTGTGAGGGTTATGTGGGAGCATTTGCAATTTAAGCTAAGAGGTGCTAACTTCAGAAAGGTGGTATGAGGTTTACTACTTTAGTGTAATGTTTTTCCTCAACAGATTTTCATGGGGAGGGGGAGGCATAAGGATTTTTAAAGGGGAAGTGTTTATTGCATCCAACAACCTTCTTGTTCCACTGTGATGCATTTCATATTACAGTTATGTATTAATTACTGTACTAATGTAGTGCTGTTCAGTACATGTTGTGCTAGCTGCAAGTGAATTCACTATATAGCGTACTATTCACTTTTCTTTAGAGTGCTTTTGCCTACAAAAATTGATGAGCATTTAAAACTGCACAACTCAGATGTATAGTATTTTGTAAAAACAGATGATCAGACTGTCCTGCAGCACAGTCACTACACTTTACAGTAGTTTAATTACACTTTAATTAAAAGTGGCACGCACAGAATTTGTGCATTTGAAGCTACTGTATTGGCAATATACAAATTGTATACCAGTACTTACATAAGTTATTAATTTATACATTTTTTTAAAGTTGATTTTCATATAATAAATACTGAATGAGGTTTACCCTACTGCTAAAATGTGGTTTACAGTACAGCAATTGCTTTTTTGAAATTGGCAATCAGTTGTACAAAGTTAAGGCCAAATAAAATCAATTGTTAGTTTCACGTCAGGGAAGTTTTTTTTTTATGAGGGTATTTGCTATTTTACCATCCTATATACTAGTGGTGGACTGGTAAATCATAATTTGTTTTTTATAAACTAAGTAAAATGAATATTTGTAATTTATTATTTAATTTACAGTATGTGTCCACCTTTGCTTAGGCATTGTCAATCTTTCAGATACAAGTCATTTTTGGAAAAATGATGGGTTTTTGGTTTTTTTTTAATAGCAAATAGTTATTCTTTTATGAAGCTCCAAAATTTGATGAGATTGGAAACTACTGTACTAGCAATTATTTTTATTTGGCCTAATTATGAGTTGCATGTATTCTGATCTGTGTTTTTCTGTATACAGTACAACAAACAGTATGTATAATATTATGCTCCCTAACGAAGAATGTTGATGCATTGACATTTGCTAAATAAACAGACGTTTGACATATACTAAGAATTTGTCATTTTATTTAAAGTCGTGCTACAGAAAGTATGTAAAATACTATAACACTTTTTTAGAAGCAAAAAAATTTCAGACCATCAGTGGTGGATACAGGAATTTGAAGAGGAGCCCAGAAAGTAAATTTTACCAAACAAGGATTCAGATCACCTTGGGCCCACCATGGTTGGAGCTTGATAAAAAAGTTCGTCTGGCACTTTTAGATGGTCGGAAATGGCACTCTCTGAATCGTCGATGCCTTCACAAAATCATGATTTTGTATTGCTTGTCATATCAAATACAAAATACAGATGATGTAATGGCTCTGCTAGTAGTATCCATGACTAATTGTTTTATGCAGCTCTGTGACAGTAGGGGTGAATGTAAAAGCACATGATTTATCAGGTTTTTTGCAAACACAAAACTCTAGTACCATATTCCATCCAGCTTCTTTCAATAGATCCATCCATTCCTTATATAATTTTTTCGCTTACAGTATTGAGTATGGTTACCACACAATGAGGTTTTCACAAACACTCTAGAACCATAATATTCTAACCAGATTGTTCAGTTTTTTAATGAGATTTTTTCCATTCAGTACTTGGTACAGGAGGTTTGTTGCAAACAATATTTCAAGATCATATTTCTAAACAGCCTGATCATTTTTTTTTTAATGATATTCATACATACATAATTTTATTTGTTTATTGATCACTTTGTCGCAAACACTCCATGACCATTATTCTACCAGCTTGTTCAGTTTTGTAAATGAGATTTATGCATAATTCTCAATCATCAAATCAAAGATGCAAGCATACTGTCAATGTTCTTTACAATCATTTCTGAACATCCTGCGTTAATTCTGCAGTAGGTGATTTAACTGCTCTTCTATTTTGTATAAAGCGATGTATCCTTGAACCAACCAGTATTGTTGCATACCCAGTTAACATAAGCATTCCTACGGTGAATGATTTGTATCCAACATCAGCAACACGTCTACCAAGATTCATCTTGATAATTATCTTTAATAGATATTCAAGTCAGAGAAACTTCTGAAAAAAGAACCACAACCTATCTATTAGTAATACTGTACTGTATTTAAAAATAGGTACAGTACTGTAAATACAGTATAGTGAGTTTGTAGTCAATACAGTACAGTACTGTAATTTATTAAATGATGTTTTTGTAGGGTAAAATATTTCTACTGAAATCTGATGATGCAAAACACCATAATCTTACATATTCGTCATCTCTTTCACTGCTTTGAGGCTATTTTTTGCATTAGGCACTTTAGGGCACATAGAAAAATTTGTTAGATTATCACACCCACATACATCAACAATTTGGGAAATACAGTACTGTATTGATTTAGCAATTAAAGACATTTCTTGCCACATCATTCATTTCAACAGCATTTTAACCAGTTTTTATACAATATTCTTGTCAAAGCCTTATCATTTTTTTTTTAATGATATTCATACATACATAATTTTATTTGTTTATTGATCACTTTGTCGCAAACACTCCATGACCATTATTCTACCAGCTTGTTCAGTTTTGTAAATGAGATTTATGCATAATTCTCAATCATCAAATCAAAGATGCAAGCATACTGTCAATGTTCTTTACAATCATTTCTGAACATCCTGCGTTAATTCTGCAGTAGGTGATTTAACTGCTCTTCTATTTTGTATAAAGCGATGTATCCTTGAACCAACCAGTATTGTTGCATACCCAGTTAACATAAGCATTCCTACGGTGAATGATTTGTATCCAACATCAGCAACACGTCTACCAAGATTCATCTTGATAATTATCTTTAATAGATATTCAAGTCTGAGAAACTTCTGAAAAAAGAACCACAACCTATCTATTAGTAATACTGTACAGTACTGTATTTAAAAATAGGTACTGTAAATACAATATAGTGAGTTTGTAGTCAATACAGTACAGTACTGTAATTTATTAAATGATGTTTTGGTAGGGTAAAATATTTCTACTAAAATCTGATGATGCAAAACACCATAATCTTACATATTCATCATCTCTTTCACTGCTTTGAGGCTATTTTTTGCATTAGGCACTTCAGGGCACATAGAAAAATTTGTTAGATTATCACTCCCACCTACATCAACAATTTGGGAAATACAGTACTGTATTGATGTAGCAATTAAAGACATTTCTTGCCACATCCATTTATTTCAACAGCATTTTAACCAGTTTTTATACAAAATTCAAGTTGTCAAATAAAAACAGTCCCTCCCTCATTGATTAAACCAAAAGCAACATTCTATTGTATCGATTAAAAAAAAGAAACCTCCCACCCTCATCACTTTTTCTTTTAAAAAAAAGTGATATCTAATAATTTTTTCTACCGTATGTTCCCTTACAAAAGTATTTTTTCAAATTTTTATTTATCAAATGCAGTATATAACCACAGAATTCAAATAATTATGAATGTGATATGTGCTATCAAATTTTGGTCGACAAAATAGTTTAAATACATGAAAAAAACAAAAAACAAAATCAAATGCTATTGGTAGAATCATTTTCAAGATGATTATACCAAACTGGTAAATCAAGGCGGATCCGGAGAGCAGAGGTGACAGAACTACTGTATGAAAGAGCACACCAGCAAACAAGGGGGATGATCTGGAAAAAATGGTGTCATGAATTCCTACTTGACTTATTTCCGAGCGGTAAAGAAATAACTAGGAATCCCTCTTTGACATATACATTATAAACACAGCTCACAATGTTGTAACACAACTCTCAAATAAACTTTTATTCTGTATAAACTCTAACGAGAATCCGGTATCAAAATAACACAACATTCACATACTGTAAACTGTGTTTCAAGAAGAGCTCCAGAAAGATAAAACTATCAGCTTTATAACATAACTCCAGAGCATTCAAGAGTACAGTATTTGCCTATGGTAATTTATTACAGTGGACATGTTTGATGACTATGCTATGAAGAAGCACTGGTAAGATATCATTTTGTAGTTCTACTCAAGACGAGTACAGTACTAAAGTAAGAATAGATTATATATTTATGGCTCTGACACTACTCACTATACTCGAGAGACTGTAATACTATAGCGCTCCATCGTTATAGTTTTGATGCCTCTATCATAATGAATATATAGCAAGTTTGTCTTTAATTAATATTATATAAATTATAATTAATTTTAGATTAACATTATTATCAAATATAATTAAAGATTTGCATAAAAAAGAAGTAGCCTAGAGGCCCATATGTATTATGTTTAAAATACAAAAGGTAGACCTTACACCAAAATTTGGGTACTACTCCAACCAAGTCACATAGTTAACAACCGTTTATAGACCTACTTTAATAGTAATACACTACTTAGATAGGCTTTTCTTTTTCCATCTTGATTTCAGAGGTCAAAAACATTTTCCAATATTTTTTCTCAATCATATAGTGGTGTAGACTAGACTTTTAAGAACATTTTGCTGGAAAAATCTTTTGGATACGACACCCCGTTATGGAGTTATAATTTTTTAAATAGCATGTCAGAAAATCAGCCCAAAAGCTTATCTTATTTTTGTTGGTTACGCACCGCTGATTCGCAATGTTTTGTCATTACTTCAAGATGTCTACCGATTCGTGAAAAAGGCCTGGCCTGTATTCAGGCCTGCAATAAAAGAGGCTTGGGCCTAGCCTAGGTAATAGTACAGCCCTGAGCAGTAGCTGGCCGAGGCCCTACCTACTACTCTATGAGGCGGCCTAGTAAGTACTAGGCCTAGTAGTAGTAGTATAGCTACACATGTGATGATTTGAGGTTCATCATGTGACCAAGAGAGGTCTAGGAGAGGACCATTTGTCCGCCGTTTACAAGGAATCATCATGCGAAATAAATTTCATATTAATTTACCACAAGATTTTGCTTAAATAAAGCCCAGATACTGTCAAAACAATTTCAAGTCACATCAAAAATCCATCGCGAGCTGAATGCTGAGCAGTGAGAAATTCAAATTGCTGCACTGCGTGATGCGTGGGCAGATCCGATAAAAAGAGATACCTTAAAAAATGACGGTCTTTCGACCTGAACTAAAATCTAACATTGAGATTTAACGTATTACTTTTTATGTATTAATACGTATCGTCTTTAAATCAGTGTTTTTCGGTATTAATTTAGAAATATTTTTTTTTATATCATTAAAACAAGGTAAAATGCAGTACATGTAAAAAAGGGTTTGAATTTGTTTTCATGAAGATCACCGTGCAGAAGATCTGATATAAAATTCAATGACTTTCTGTTTATGCATGCGCTGGGTATTTTATTTCGGTCACAGTAAAGTTTAGGTCTCTCTAACGACGTAAATAGGCTGTTTTATAACTACTTGATTGATAGCTGTTTAATTAACATGACTGAGCGATACAGCTTTTCATTAACTACATTCAGGTTAGTATTTATAAAGTTAAAATCTAGCTCTTGTATATTATAAAAGCTATATTCAGGCCTAGCTAGCACTGTAGCAGGCACGGCACACATTACTACTAGGGCTAGGCCGGGCCTAGGCGTATATTCGTCCAGGCCTAGGCCTAATCTACGTAGCTTGCCTAGACCTGGGTGGCCTAATGCCCTGAAAAAAAAAGATATTTGTGCCTCCGACCGTGAAATTTGTCTAGATGAAATGCCTCTAGCACCAAATGTTATCTCACACAATAGCCCTGTCAGGAAAAATTTGGTCCGGGGCCAAAATCGGACCGATGTTGGCTTTAAAATTACCTGCCAACTATATAGATTCGTCCACATAAGCCAAGATCGGTCCGGCGTCTATTTAATATAACTTGTATTTTTATAACGTTGTTCATATTTTTTTGTAATCAAATGATAGATAAATATCTTATCTCTCATTATATATAGCCTAATTACTGTATGTTTTAGTTTGTTATTGTATATGTGAAATCATAGATAGGTGAAATCAAGGTGAAAATTAAGTAAAGCTTCGCGCCCAATTGTGTTCTTCCGCTTTAGTTTATTTTTCACCTTGTTTTGTTTTGGTTTGTGTGTGCTAAACGCCGCGACAAAGTACATGCATTAAATTTCCGAGAATGCTGAACCCTTTATTTCATGTATTAGAACATCTACCTGTATTGTATGACCTAATACCCCACACAATAATACTGTACGGAATATTTTTAACTAATAAATGATGCACGCTGTGTGTATCGCCTAGGCCTGGGAAATGCATGATCTGGTGGTTTGATAAAACAATTCATTAAAAGCTTAGCGAATCATTCTGTCACTGCAAAAGATTTTGCAAGTGTGGGAGAAGCATACTTTCCAACTCCACGGAAGAAACAATCATACCCTATGAGCAGCAGACGAGTTACAAATGAAGTGGCCAGGCCGACGCGGACCAATTTTATCCAAGCGGGACCGGTTTTAGCGGCTAAAATCAATCTGGAGGACCGATTTTAGTAGTCCGGCGGACCGATCGCAGCCGCGTGCACTTTTTGCATCCCTGGATCTCATCCCATCTCATCTGTACAGGCTACTCACAACCCCAGGTCCCCATTATGCCATGCTTTGCTGTTTCACGACAAGCCCCTACCCATGCCATGTAGGCCTATGCCTATGGTGTGCCGCTAAGATTTGTGTCTTCACTCAATTTTCGTTTTTTTTTACTAGTTTTCTTGCTTGCATTTCAGTCCATCAGGTAAGCTTGTGCAGATTGAGTATGCACTTAATGCTGTCGCTGCAGGAGCACCTTCAGTTGGTATCAAAGCATCAAATGGTGTCGTCATAGCAACAGAGAAAAAGCAGAAATCGATTCTTTACGATGAACATAGCATTAATAAAGTAGAAATGATTACAAAGAATATTGGCATGGTTTATAGTGGAATGGGTCCTGATTACCGGTAAATCATTTTTTGTTAACTTTGAAAATCATTATTCCATAGTTACCAACCTAAAAGATTTGAAATGCGTAACTACAGTACACCAGTTGGCTGTGGGGGAGGGGGTAACTGGAGTCCAGGGGCGGAGCCCCGGTACGAGTCCAGGCTTTAGGCATAATCAATGCACCTCTCAGATTCAACCATGTGCTTGTTTGGCTGAATTGTCTTGGTTGGAAAAGAGATATTTTCTCGGCAATTTGATTCTGGAATGATAACGAAAGCCTGTTACCGTTTTCATTAATAAAACCAATTTCTTCTAATTTTAAATAGATTTCCCCCTGAATTCGTGATAATTCGTTATCACGCATAGACTTGTGCTAAGTGCGGGACAAATTTATGATCACGCATGTGTTTCTACAAAATTCGTGTTTCATCCAAAATCACTTTAAAATGTTGGACCCTCCTGCACAATGCGATACGGTTGGTAACTATGATTATTCTATATAAATAGTTACTTGTAGAGTTTATTTGCAGATCATCATCTTAATTATAAACTCATCCATCATTATTTAACATTGTTGTTGGTGTTTATTTTATTAAATTATTTTAATGTTATGCAGTGGCTATTGTTACACCAATCTTAAACAAATTCATAATTCTGATTGGATGTTATGCTACTGTGTGTGGATTGGATTAGGACAATAAAATCCAATCAGAATTTGGAATTTGTTTTAAGACTGGTCTAAAAATAGATACTCCCTAAGTTTTATTGCATAATTTCTATTACCACTACTGAATAATATTAAATCTGTTGTTGCTTTCAAGTGGTGATATATTGTGTAATCACAAGATTGACCAAGATTAAATAATATCATCAGTAACTTTTAACAAAAATTTATTTTTTTAAAGTATAAAAAGGGTGAAAAGATTCCAAATGTTAATATATCTGCCTCTGTGATGAAGTATTATTGCAGCTGTTAATCTCATACTGTTCATGTACATACAGTACGTATGTATAATTGTATGTTAGTACTGTATGTTTGTATGTGTATGTATGAATGAATTAGTGAACTTAACAGTGTGAAAATGGAAGCCTAGCACACACTTCATCGGCCAAAAATGCATCAACAGTCCACGTACCATCAGTTATTCCGAGCGTGTTTCTTAAAATTGCATCAGCTCTCTACAGTCAATGCAGTGGGCACTGCAGGACCTTGTTTTATTTTGAGTTCAACGCTTCAATTTATTTACTGTTCTTTTAATTTAGAGTATTGGTGAGAAGAGCACGGAAGCTGGCTCAACAGTACTTTATGGTTTATCAAGAACAAATACCGACAGCTCAACTCGTACACAAAGTGGCATCAGTCATGCAAGAGTACACACAATCAGGGTAATTAATTTAATTACTGTATTTATTAAATAATATATAAATAAAATAATATTCAATATATCGGTTTTATATTAATATTATCTTTTTGTTCATTTTGTTTATCTTCGGGATTGAATTTTAATCATACCAGATTTTTAATTTTTTCTGTAAAACTGATTAGTGCAAACCATGTTTATGTGGTGTTTGATTTCATGGTCATCGTTACAAATTTACTAATGATGATAATAAATAATAATAGCAACAATAATAATGAATTTGGGATTTTTTTTCATGTGTTTCTGGCTGATCATTATGCCACGTGTTTTATTCACACAGATTTCAATAAATTAGTTTTTTTCTTGAATGTGATTTACAATCCAATTTTTGTATTGAAATAAAAATTGTTCTGTATAGCCAGCCTGATCCACTGACCCACCATTTTTTTTTCCTTGCCTCTGTGTTTTTTGATAGTGCTTGTTGTTAGGTGGCAAAACCATTAGAGTGACTGTGAGTCATGATCTTGCTGACCACTGTTTAACAGTGGTTTCAAATTGCAAGAAAGCAATGCAATGGTTTTGGTTCTCTGCACTATCAGTTTTTGTGTCTTTCCTATATTTGGCTAATTTTAGGATACTAGTCTGTTCTTTTTTGTTTGTTTTTTTAATCTGTTTTCTGCTTTTTCATTACGTTCAACTTGCCTTTTGTTTACTTGGACCTGGCGCTTAGAGACCTTGTTTATTGGCATTTATTATTTATAAATCTACCATTATTATTATACAAAAAAGCTTAATCTGAAAATAAGATTATTCAAGGTCAGAGACCTACAGGAAAATTAATAAACATCTTAAAAAGTTGGGTTTTTTTTCTACAGCATATGCTAATATTATGTATCACATCCCGTATCATTGCTGTTTTTTTTTTTAATAACAAAGTGACATTAAAATCTTGTTTTGTCAACAGTGGTGTGAGGCCATTTGGTGTGTCTTTGCTGGTAGCCGGATGGGACGATGATGATCATAAACCTTTCCTTTTCCAATGTGATCCGTCAGGAGCATACTTCCCATGGAAAGCAACAGCAATGGGAAAGAATTTTGTCAATGGCAAAACTTTCCTTGAAAAGCGTTACAATGAAGATCTCGAATTGGATGATGCAGTGCACACAGCTATTCTCACACTTAAGGTAATTTTTTTAGTTCATAAATATAGTGGGAGTGGTTGGTGCAGTGATTGCGTTTCAGTCTCTCAAATTTGAGGTCAGAAGTTAAAACCTTCGCTGTGCATTTCAGTTGTTGCCTTGGTGAAGGCACATTACCTACATTTGTCATTAGAAATTCCTATATTATTTGTATTAATTTTAAAATTTCACATTTTTTCTCTCAAAGAACAAATTGCATGTAAATTTCATAAAAGGTAAAGGTAGGAGAATAACTCAAAACCCATAGCATCACTGTGCTGAATTTTGTGTGGGCATGGCCTGTGATTACTGTAGTAGTCATGAATAAGTGCTTAGTAGATTCATGTTCACATCATCCCATAATGACCAGGGCTGGTGTGAACCAAAACATCAGGGTAACCCCCAAAGGTTTTTTTAATAATTGCATGTTTTTATTTTGTGTAAGGGGTACACACCAACAGAAGTTGTTTTCTTCTGTGTGCGCTGTGGCCACTTCTGTTGTATTTTGAGAGTAAGGCGAGAGACTTTTTTTTATACCTTGTTTAGCGAACCCGCCGAATGCAGATTTTGATGATTTTGAATTAAATTTAAAATTTTATTTTTGGGCCAATTAGTGCACCTGCCTCAACGAAAAAATGGAAATTTCTAAAAAAAAAATAAAAGTTTTTCTTAGTTTTTATTACACCCTCCGATGCCTTGAAATCTCCAAAGTTAAGAATGTATATTTCTTCCTAATTTTATAATTTGAAGCATTTAACCATCCCATTTTACATTTTTCTCCTCCATCTGGGTTTTTTGGCAAAACTATTTGCTAAATAAGAAAACAAATTTTATTTTTATTCCGCCTCCTTCGATGATCTTTTTAAAAAAAAATAAGTACGCGAAAAAAGGAATAAAAAAGTCTCGCCTAACACATAAATGTTTAATGAATTGAATCGAATAAAGTGCACACAAGAAGTCAGATGTGTGCATTGCACTTCAAGTTTGAAGCCCTTGTCCGAGAAAATTGGTTATACAGTAACAACTAATTCCTCTCGAACCAGCGCCATTGATAAAGCTGTTGTTAGCGGCAACCTGTCTTACCACATAAATACTTGTCCGGCTCAAAAGAACACAATTATCGTGGAATGTGAAAATGTGAAATAAACAAAAAACAATAAACCCAAAAACTAATTCCTCCATGAACCAATAAATAACCATAGAACCATCTTTTTACACATTAGTGTACTGGAAGTGAAAAATGATTTTTAAGTATATCAGTATATAATTATATATAATTTTATTATTTTAGAAAGAAGTTATATGCACATGTTTTATATCAGTGTTACAGTATAATGCAGTCATACAACTATTAGTTATAAGTAAATTTATATTGCTATAATTGTTGTTCATATGAGGTCGACTAGGATAAAATCTATGCATCTACATTTTTTACCTCAGAACCAATATTACATTCTTTTTTTTTGTAGGAGAGTTTTGAAGGCCAAATGACAGAGGATAACATTGAGATTGGAATTTGTAATGATGGTGGTTTCAGACGTTTACCTCCAGCTGAAGTTAGAGACTACCTAGCGTCGATAGCTTAGAAAAATAAAGACACAAATGTTAGTTTTATATTAAGTTTAAAAAACACAAAATTCACTCCACAAACTTGATTGTTAATGCTATGAAAAATCGAGGATAAAATTGTTAGTTACAGATTGAATATTGTAAATGGTATGGAGGCCATTTAGTACTTTCTTAATTATGACTCACTATGACAAAACCCTACTTTTGTAATCTTTTAAAAAACCAAAATTGAGTTGGGTTGTTTGCCATCCAATTTTCCTACCTTAGCATATGTTCTGTAGTTTTGTGAATATCATTACATGATGAATGGCCCCTTATTCATCATGATTGAGCAGATATTGACGTTAGGGTGGGGGAAAAGGCTACTGACAATTTGAGATGGTTTGAATTAACACTTACCTTAGCCCAATCATAAAAATTCTGACACTAAAAGTCCTTACCAGTGTGGGTCATTTAATAATATCTGTGAAATGCTACAATAATGTATGTATTACAAACAGCACAACCATTTAATCCTCACATTTTAAACCTCGTATTTACTAAATCAGTTGCATAATGAAATAAATGTTTTCTACATCTTGGCTTGATGGTACAAAACCATCAAGACACGAAGAAAAGGCATGATGTTTTATTTATATAAATCTTTTTTGTTTACATTCTCTTTAAATTTGAAAACATAAGTACTTTACTGTACCATAACATTTTCTTTGAATACTGAAAGTCTACCATATTTCTGTGGATCTTTGTTAGTTAGCAATTTGAGACTTGGATTTTGTAATGTATTAAAATTCAGTTGCTCTTAGAGATTGTTCCAGTAGTGTTTATTACATTTCGACGTTAATGTTTGCTCCAACTGATTGTTTTACTATACTTCCAAGACCCTAGGCGACGGGACTGGTGAGAAGCCGCAGTGGTGCCAGGATTTCCCCGACAAGGGGTCTGAGGTCCTCGACGTGGTGGTGATGTCCCTATGGAAACAAAGTGGGCGTGGTCGGACGTTGCTCAAAATCTCTCGAATGTATTGCTCAAAAAATGACAATTTAGGGGTTGCAAAGGCTTTGAGTCTACTATATGTAGAAAAGACATATACTGTGCTCCCCTCACCTCACAGAAACCTAATCCAAATTTCTTTTTTTATTTTCATCTAGGACCAATACACATACACTGTCTTTAATGCCTTTATATGAACAATTTACAGTACTATTATTTATTATTTATTTGAAGCATTTGTTATTCAATTCTTGTTTCAATTAACAATTGATCAACTCAATGTCTCTTAGGCTTTTACTACTTTTCAACATAGTGTATGTAATATACCATCCACATCCTCAACATATAGCCCCTTGTACAGTAGGAGAAGCGCGACTAACATCCGCTACCAAGAAATTACCATGTGGAAAACAGATTCAGAAAGGAATATCATTTTTGTGCCAACATCCAATAAGCTTTATTACAGTACAGTAGTAATAATTGAATTCAAAATGTATTTATTTAGGCCTAACATTAGGAAGTTTGGACATCACAAGTCCTACTACATTCAGACTTCATGCTGGTAGGGGGAATTCCCCTACCAAAATATGAGTTGGTCATTTGACATCTCAGTGGGTTAATTCACAGAAACATAATCATAAAGTTAAAAAATGTTTTGAGTGAGATTTTTTTCATATCAAGTGAGAGTAGGTAAAAATGGATCATCACTGTGGTTAAACATAATACTGTAAAATTGTTATGGATGTGACCACACTTACAAGTGTATATATGCATAAATGTACAAATTGGTTGGTCTTTTTTCCTTGTTTTACAGTACATTTTAGTTATTCTGAATCCATTGTAATTTTTTTTTTCAAATTTGTACAGTATTATTTTTTACCTACTCAAAAATCAATTATTGGTCATCTAATCCCCTAGAATGTGTGATGATTTTCCTGATTATGATGATGTTGATGTTTTTCTTTATGTCAATTGTTTCTCATGCTTCATGATATAGCCCAAAGGGAAAAAACTAATGCGAGTGGAGAGACAGAAGAAAGAAGCATAGATTTTTTTAAAAGTTGTACAATTTTATTGTATACAAATAAGAAACTGAATGGTCCTGTATTTACAGCTATATTAAAATTCATGAATTTATACATAGTCCTACATATTACAAACAGTAATGGATAATTCTTGTAAGATAAAACACTACAAAAAAGCTGAGTAAAATTAACTTAATTTAAATCATTCATTACTATACTAATACACATGAGATACACTGGACATAATGAATAATCTTAAAAACATGGCGACATCCCCGTAAAAAAAGGAAGATCAACATAAATGCTGTACTACATTCTTATTTGAAATAAAAGTTATGAAATAAGATTCATTCCATTAGCCTCTCCAATAACATTTTTTGAGGGAAAAAAAGTTGTTATATTAAGCAGACTAGGTCTATCTCTCAATCCAATTTCATCATCATTTGATCCCTTAAATTTTTTTGTGATAAACATTGCTGTAGATGGGTCTGAACCTATGGTTCGCGACCCAAAAGTGGGTCACCAAACTTTTGTCTTAGGTCGCAAGCAGTTTCCAAAAAACTTTAAAATGGCTGATGTTAGTCTTTAATAGATCTGACGACTTGAAAACAGTATTTTAGATGTACCCTCTTTAGAACAATATTTTATTATATGCTGACAATGAATATCTTTTTATAACATAATTGTGTAAATCTAAACAATAAGTAATAAGAAAACTTAATAATGAAATGCTGTCATCCCTACCTATGACAATAGCATTTTTCCAATAAGTTTCAAATGGGTACCTATGCAAATACAAACAATAATGCAGCTAAAAAGCCACTCTCCATGGAGTTTGCAAAAAAGCTGATAATACAGTATATTTTCGAGATTTTGGGTCAATGAGGCTTGGGCCACACAAAGTAATTTTTTATTTACTCTTGTCTCTTATTTTATTGCAAGGTTTCAAATATTAAGAGTCTCATTTTACCTCTGTGACGATAATCAAAGGCGGATTCAAAGCTAGGGCAGCCGCCCAAGTCCCTAAATTTTTCAAAATAACAAATAATAATTGAAAAAAATGAAAATCGTATTAGAATTTAAATCAAAAGGTGCCATTTCGGCCATCTAAAGGTGCCATAATCATAGAATTTCTTACCTCAGCCCAAAACCATGGTTGGGCTGAGGTTGGGTACACCCTCTACCTGTAAAAGTGCCTCCCTTGGGCCAACTCTGTTATGAATTTCTAAATCGAGCACTGACAATAGAAAAGGAAAATCGGTGTGATATGGTACCAATGTCTAGTTGTTGTTTTTAAAACATGATCATAACATATGGGCAACAGAAGCTTTTTAGGCCTATGCAAGGGGGATGAAACCTATGTAGCACAGGATCAATGCACCATTAAAAAAAATATACAGTAGTTAGATGGTCAGCCTCGCACCTTAAAATGTTGAAAAACTGTAGGGTAGTGTGGTACTCAGCCCTGGCAGTCATGACCAGTTACTGTGACTAGTTTTAGGCTACCTCATGATTGTATCATCATTCCTGATGATGACATAATTAATGTCAAAATATTGATTCCCGCAATGATGGCGTTTCTTTCAATACAGTACTTGAATTATGTATTATACTTTCTCATGATTTTATGTCACAAAGTTGAGGTGTAAGCATAGAGTGAACCCACAGCATTATAGGCCTATGAAAGTACATAAAAGGTCCCTTACAGTATCTTGAGCAATATTACAACATTAATATTAATACTTCAAAATTCCTAGAATTATCTCTAGGAATGTTGGATTTACTACAGCATCAGGCAAGACTTTTTGTCCCTCAAACAATGGAGTATAAAAATAAAATTCTTTACAGTATTATGAAAGAATTGCCATCTCTATTTCCATAACACCAACAATATGTCAAAAAGAGGTTTCAATATACGTTCTATATTTGAAATTACATGAAATAACATTAAGAGGAAAATGATGATAATACAAGAAACAGCTACTTTCTTTATATCAGATAATGACTCAAGTTCAGACAGAGTGGCATTGAAATCATATAATGCAATCAGTATTATTATGATAATAACAAAACACGCAAAGATAGAAGACCTCTGTGTATTATGTCTTTCCTGTATGATATCAGAAAGTGAAACATTATATATTACACCAATAAAAAATGAGACAATCAAACAAATAAACAGTGCACAAATTACTTTTTTTTCTTTAGAAAAGGAATTCATATAAGGGTAAACATTTAGCAATATATATGTAATGGTCAAGATCACAACTGTACCACATGCGTATAGCCAATACATTAGTGGCACTTTTATTTCTGGGTAAATATTCAGCAATGTAAATGCAGTGATCGAGATCACTACTATACCACATGCGATTAGCCAATACATTAGGAGACATTTTCTTCCTGGAAAAAAATTAAAAAGTTACAAGTAAATTCAACGTTTTCTTTTTAATTTTTGTAAAATAAATGAATGATTGTGTGCTAACATTGAATACAATTACAGGGGGTGGATCTGGGTTCAACTTTGGGGGGGGGGGTCAAAATGTTTTTTTTAAAAAAACCCAAAAAGAAAGTGGGGTCCGGGGGTCCTCCCCCGTGAAAATTTTTATTCCTAGATGGCGGGAAATTACCTTTCCCGACTTCTGGGGTGTATTTTAATGACTTACACAATTTCTTTAAAATTCAGGATTTTCCCCCTCTTGAAAACAGTCAGGTAAACTTTCTCATTCTTATTACCATAAATAGGCCTATTATGTGTGTATATACATACATAAAAAAAATTGAGTAGTTGCATACGTGTTCTTTTTTCCATGAATTAATTGAGTCCTCCCTGGGAAAATTTTGATTCCTAGATGGCAAGAAATTAGTTTTCAAACTTCTAATTTTCCCATTGTAACAAAAACCAAAAGGTAGGTGTAGAATTTTTTTTTTTTTTTTTTGCGCACAAGGAAGGAGCCCCCTGACCCCCCCAAATCCGCCAATGCAATTATCATTTATTACAGCATTGTCAATTTCAGTTTCAGAAATTATATTGTGAATATTGCAACAACTGATTATCATTTTATTTGGCTCTTAAAATTCTATTGAAATGTAATGGATAACATGCATGTATATTAAATGTAAATGTAATTATGAATGAAGATGATGACTATGTTAATGAGATCATAATAATAACTCTTTAGAACGGATAAAGATGGACACAAAAATATTCCTTAACAGACCTAACTATCAATGGCCATTAAACTTGAGGAGCCAAGAAATCAGATTCTAATTAATACCCAACGCTAGCCGAGTTTGATCCAGGGTCTACTGCACAAGAAGCAGGAATAATACCTTTCCAAAAATCTCAGCTCATTGATCATCATGGTGATAATGATGATTGATGATAATGATTATTGTGTACAAAAATAATCATTAATTAATACAAAAAATATAAATTACAGTTGAAAAATAACAAAATTACCTCCACCACCTACTCCTGTATCTGCTTCTAACACAACTGCTGAAATAAGATATTTCAGTTCGTTACTGTAATCACTTTTTATTTTTTGAAATACATTAATAACATTTTAATTCCTTATGGCTTTACTATTTTTATGTCTTTTTAAAAATAACAATCTACAAAAACTGCAAGAAAGTCATGTCTTGTTACAGTTTTACTTGTCACAAAAACCAAACAATTCCTCCACACAAGCAGAAGAATTATTATTGGGAGCCACATAACATTAGCATTAAACCACACCAAAGTTGAAGATTATCCTGTTTCAATTACTCAGATGTCTCTATTTCTTTTTTTTTCAGAAAATTGTTTACCGAAAAAGCATTGATATCAACAGTACTACAATGTAGTACACATACCAGAGTTTAATGATATATAGTTGTATATTATGTGCCTACCTCTGCCTGCTTCTGCCGGGGCATCTGTTTCTGAAATTTGGAAATGAAAGATTGTAATGACCAATAAAATACCATACAGTAATGTTTATAGTCATCATCTAAATCTCTGATCATGTAGTAGTGTTATATTTGACCTGATTTTAATAAAAGCAGAAATAATGGACATTTATTCATAAATAGATCTAGAACCGAATATTTTTTTCAGTTTTTTTTTTATATGATATGCTAACTTAAATTTTTAAATACCTTTTTATGAAAATTGTTAGGCTCACAAGCAATTTGGCCTTTCGGTCACGATTTATGACCGATTTTACTTAATTTATTTTGTCAATAAAAGTGAATTGTATACATATAACAAAGAAATGGAATTTTAAATAACAAGGCAAAGAGGAAATAATTTCAAATAATTATAGAAAATAAATAAATTATAATATTTGATTATTTTTTCCAAATAAACAAAACCTATAATTAATTTAAAGGAACAGTATAAAACAAGTCTTGAAGTTTTGCATAGCGAATTGGTAAACCATGTGGTATGAGATGCAAATCTCGCTTGCTTTATTATCTAAATCTTTCTATACTCTGGATGGTTCATTTATCCAAAAATATTATATTTTACATCATGAATAAATTTCCCCATACGAATAACAATGAAACAGTACTGGGTTTGGTCTACAGGAGCTTGTGCTTCCATCAGATCATTCCATTCTTAGAAGAGGTCTTAATGGAGAAAGCTATAGGCCTAGTAGCCTAGGTCTAAACATAACTCTGTCTATATAAAATCAATTATCAGGTTGGAAAATGTTAATCCTATTATAGCACAGGAGTGACACTATGTAGACCTTTCAATTAATGCACCTTGACCTCTGATGATTAGTGCCTAAACATTTTCACAAAAACATGATGCAATAATGACAAAATGATTATTATTATTATTGTTTATTTCCGGTAAATATTTCCGCCACTCCGATTTTCTTTCTTATTCTTCTTTCTTCCTATGCTTCTTCCATATGTGGCAAAGACAAGCCAAACCAGTCACTCGTCGCAAAAATCGATTTTCAGTTATTAATACAGGGTTAAAGAGTACAATAAGAGCTATAAAATGGTAAAAATATCATTCAAATCCGACATGAAGTTACAAGCATTTAAAGCATACAGCTGTTTAAAGAACATTATATGAGAAATCAGCCTTCAAAGTTTATGATTTCAGGCATTTCTCATGCAGAAGCTATCATAAAATCTTTAAAAAGTGTTGTTTTAACATTGAAATTGGGAAAAATATCAGCACAGCATGATGTAAAGATACATAAACCTCAGTTTAGTGAAATAAAATAGATTTTTAAAAATTTTACATTCTAGCATGTTTTTGCTATTTTCTCTGAAACACAATTTGCAA